ACAAATAACTGATAGTCTTTCTTTTTTTTTTTTTTTTGTAACTACATGTGAAGTGAAATTCCCTGCCCATAGCAGTCTGAGCCCAAGTAACCATCCCCTCGCTGTAACCTCCAGCCCATCCCAGCCTCTCTGCCTGGGGCCCATCATATATGCGTGTGACGTTTCTTCACTGCCTCGGTATGCCTGGTGGTCATGGCCAGATCTCTGCCTTCCCTCTGTCTTCCTAACACCTGCTCAGCGGAGGTTCCAACGTCTATAGCGCAGATTGCCTGGCACCCTTCAGGGTTGGCATTCTCAATTATAATGGTGTTTTCTATTTCTAAATAGGTATTTCACTGTTTGTTCCTCCAATACGATTTACGGCAACCAACCAACTTTTCTTTTTAAAGATACCTACAGTGCATGTGTAAGCAATCTCAAGCTAAGCATTCAAATGAGCCTTTGCATGCTACAAAGGAATTGCATTTTTAAGTGGCATGCCCATGAGTGCACTTGGCAACCATTACAACCCCACCACGTGCCCGGCTCTGTGTTAGAAGCAAGGAATTCACAGACTGAACACAAAATATGGGAAAGTAATGGCTGGACGAAGTGACTCAGTCTTCCCTGCCTCTGAGGTGCCCAGCGGGTAACCACTGCGTGGTGTGGCCAGGCCCTGGAAGCGCACAGGGCCCCCTGCCTTCGGCGTTCGCACCTCCAAAACAGGGAATGGGTCTGACAATCTTATGTTCTCAGGGTCTGGCACAATGCTATGTTTTCTGGGAATGTTTGGAATGAACTGTTGAACTGAGCTACAGTATAATTTGAAAATGTTATTGTATAATGGAGCCTGTATGGGTACTGTGGGAGGACAGAAGGGGTGCCTGGCCTATGCCCCTCCATCCCCCCACCCCGCCTTGGCCAGAGTAAACCCTTCTTGCCAAATGACAGCCCCGTCAGACTGCATTTGGAGGCAGTTTCACTTGGACAATAATTTTACTCAAACCGATATTGGCAGTCCTCATTTCGTGGATTGCATTTTTGAGGAGGCATGTAATTTAGAAGCATGTAAGTTGGCTAAACCCAGGGTCTTATATTTCTGAGCGAGGACTTAAAGCCCAGATTTTTATAGAAAGGATCTCTGTTTGGTAAACTTTGATATACCTGTTTTGTTTTTTACACAGCATAAAATTTTCTTTTTTTTTTTTATTAATATATTTTATTGATTTTACACAGAGAGGAATTGAGAGGGACAGAGAGTTAGAAACGTCGATGAGAGAGAAACATCGACCAGCTGCCTCCTGCACATCCCCTCCGGGGATGTGCCTGCAACCAAGGTACACGCCCTTGCCCGGAATCGAACCCGGGACCTTTCAGTCCGCAAGCCGACGCTCTATCCACTGAGCCAAACCGGTCCCGGCCAGCATAAAATTTTCTAAGGTTTATCAGTCTATTAAATGATCCCACTGGTATTTTAAAACTCATTTATTTATAAAGTTGACATAGAGATTTTTCTGAAATACAGTACAGTTGCTGTTTTTGAGAAGCAGGCCGGCTATGCCATTAAAGCAAGGAAGGGCATTTCTCTTTGCTCTTTGAAACCTTCTGCGTCCAGAATTTTTTTATTTATAATGAGAATGTTTTATTTTTATATTAAGAACTAGTTAATAGAGTAGATTTAAATCCCAATTACTTAAGGATAACAAGCTTAAGCAGTGTTGGGTAGAGTAGCTGGGGTGAGTTGAGGGGAGCTCTGAAGCCCCACAAATAGTGGTTTTCTCCAAAGCAGAAGGGGTAGTTTCCAGAGAAATGGCAGAAGAGGGCGGGGGTTGGGAGGGGGTGCGCACGGAGAGGCTGGAGCAGTGAGGAAGGTTTTTGGGCGTGGAAGCATGTCCAGATGTTGATCTTCAGGTTACCTGTTTTAAAAAGCTTTCGGTTCATAGGTGTCTGTGCATAGGTGAGTCCAGTCGGTTAAGGCTGCTGAATGTACCGCTGCGGGCGTTAGCTTTATGTTGTGGCAAAGAGTGACTGAGATCAGGAAGGCCAGCAGAGCTTCTGGTGATATTGGGACTTGATGCCATTCAAAGCTCTTGTTTACTAGTACTATACTGCACAAAAAAATAATAGGTTTTTTTCCTTATGACTGGAGTGAAGAAATGTGCCATTGACTATATGAAAATAAAGGGTACTGTGGAGAGTTGGTCAAATGATGGTGTAATTTGAAGGCCAAAGCAAGGGTCGGCATTATCAAAGAATGGGAGTAATTTCATGCACCCAAATAAAAATAAAAAATTTTGGGGATGGGTTAATATTTCTTAACTCATTCCTACCTTGAAATCAAAAGGATTTATTTTAGAATGCTAAAAAAAAGTTTTATATCCTGTAAATTCAAGTAGGTCACAAATGCATATTACAATAACTTTGGTTTGCCTTCATATAATTCAGAAATATATAATTTTAACATATTTCAAAATTCTACCCCCCCTTTCCCAAATTAAATTCCCCAAGCTATTCATACCCCACCATGCACATATGGTTTTATTATATTATCCACTAGATATCTTACAACTTGGTTTCTTCACTTAACTATTGATCTTCATGTTTACAGTCACTGCTTATAATTCATCTCATGCTTTTTCATGGTTGTCATAGTCAATAATTTGAACGCATCAGATTCTTGTTCTACTTACATTTTAGGACAATTAAGCTTTCTTCTAGCAGGATTTGTGTCTGAAGATGTCCTCAGGGACCTGACAGAGAATAATAGGTATTTCAGAAATTCCATGTTCTGTGGACTGGTATTAGAAACACGGAACAGAATGAGGAAAGGGAGTTACAGGTAACAAGAAAAGTCAGTAAAGGACCTTGTCAAATTAAGTCCAAATGTTTATTGTTATAACTTTTTGGCCAAAAGGCTTAATGGTGCAGGTCATGTTTTAAAGAAGAATCAGACTTTCTAGATAACAAAGGATTTATGAAGTGTGCAGTCCTTTTTTTAAAAAAAAAAAAAATATAAGTGCTTTGTTCTTTTTCATCCTTTAGTTCTGTTGTATCTTTGGGATGTTTATCATTATTTCTTGGGAAATAATTCTGCTAACAGGAAGGGCTGCTTGCTTTAAAAAAAAAAAAAAAAAAAGCAGCAAGAAAACTAGCAATTTGTGGACATGATGGTCATGTATTTTCACCATGATGAAGAAGCGACTGACCAGCTATTGACCACTGTTGTGTTAAAATATACGTTACAGCTTTTAAGACTACAAGTGAACCTTTTATAGGGTGATAAAGTATCCTGTGCCCAATCATCCTCCCCAAAAAGAGCAATACTGTAATTTGATAATTTGACTATGGACTTTCACCCACACATAGTTGGTTTTCCAGTTGTAAATATGGTAACATTTTAGAAATTGAACTAACTGCTTCATGGTGGTCATTTGATATGAAGAGCTGTTTAGACTCAATATTGAAAGGTGAAGAGTTACTATTGTCTTTTTATAGGTCTAGAAACTGTAATTATTATTTTAATGAAACACACACATATATGTATATATTTTAGCCTTTAATTCAACTTTCTGGCTTTATTTTCTCAATTTTCAAAATTTTAATATTCAGTGAGTTCATGTTTCGGTTACTAGTTTTTATTCCATTTTACCTTTGATTACAGGAAGTATATATTTGAAAGCTTTGCTGAATCATGAGAGCTCTAAATACAGTACTGGCACTCTGAGGCTTGTTAAATGAATATAAGCAATGCCATGGAGTTTTTATAGAGTTTTACGTGCTGTTAATTACCATCAATTAAATCTGTTGCAAGTAATAATGAACTATAATCTGTTGAAAACCTGACCTTTCAATTAACCAATCCGTTAACCTTCTCTCCTTTCCTCTGCAGAGCAGTTTAGAGTATATTTCTTTTTCCCATGCGAGCCCTGCTATCTTCTGGCCCAGATGTTACTGGCCTATTTGGGAATCTGACCTATAATACAAGATACATTTCTGCTTCTTTTTACACCTGTTGTAATGTGTGTTTAGGAAAAATTGTGTTTCTAGTCCACTCTTGCTTCTATGTGTAGATGACGAGCCAGTCAATTTACCTATTACAAGTTCTCACAATAGCCTTGTGATGTCTGTTTTATACAGAGGCAAACAGCAGCTCAGGGAAGCGTGCAATTGTCTGGAGTCACAGAGCTGGTCAGGTTCAAGTCCACAGAGAGCAGGCCTGAAAGCATTGCTTCACAAATGGCTCCTTGCCAGATGCAGTCATCGGATCAGAAAAAGGAGCCCAGATGTAGGAGGCAGTCAGTTTTGGGGGCTGTCAGAACCCACTACTAGCTCTAGGACTTAATCTCTCTTAGTCTCAAATTCTTTATTTGCAAAATAGGGCTAGTATTGCCCTCCTTGTAGGATTCTTATGAACACTAAATGGAAATGCATATAAAGCCTTTGGCACATTGTTACTTTGTGTGTGTGTGTGTGTGTGTGTGTGTGTGTGTGTGTGTGTTTCCATTCTAATGACCTAAACTACCCCTCCAAGTTAAGGAACCCTCTGATGAAAGTAAATGCCAGCACTGACCAACATAAACAGAATTTTAATTGACTGTCCAGAAGCAGAAGATCCTGATTAGAGTTATCCCCCTTTGTATGTTTTCCTTTGTACATCCTTTGAAGAGCAGAGAAGATTTCAGTCCCAGCAGCAATGTAATTTGTAGTGGGGGTGTTTTCTTTTTCTTTTACATCCTTTTTAATCCCATTTGGAGTTGCAAACATTTCAGAAGGGTCTCATGGCTGCCCAGGGCCTTGGGCTGGAGTTGTGTCTCAGCTCATTGATGTGGTGAGCTGTTGCAAGAGGTAGGAGTGATTTAGAATGGGATGGCATTAGGAAACAAAGGAGTTGAACACATATTGCTCTGACCACTAGAATTTCAACTGATCTGACCGATGAGTTTATGAAAGTTTTATTTGTAAAAGGAGTGCATTTCTCTTTGACTGAAATTTTCTCTTTTTCTCTTTAAAATTGTTTTTAGGATGCAGAATAGAAAACTGTGATTCTTGCTTTAGCAAAGACTTTTGTACCAAGTGCAAAGCAGGCTTTTATTTACATAGAGGCCGTTGCTTTGATGAATGCCCAGATGGTTTTGCACCATTAGATGAAACCATGGAATGTGTGGGTAAGTACTTTTTTGTGTAACTTTCAAACTGCAACTTTTTACACCTGTTTCTTGGGGAGGGGGAAATGCATACTGGGTTATTCAACCTAATAACAAATTGTTTGTCTTGCTGTTAATTAGAACTAAAAATTATTTTGAGTTTTTTGCTGACTTTCTGAATTCTTTAGGCATTCTGCCATTGGGTTGTTTTATATATTACAGTTTGCTACAAAATTTGTGAGTTGTACATTTGCTAGATTAAACTATTTAGATGCTGATAATGCTTTTTATCATATGTGTAATACATCTATTTCTTACTTTAAAAATACTAATATCTGTTAGATAAAAACATTTTGTTTAAAATAAAAATTTCAAGCAGTATCATGTTATTAATGGTTCTCTCACTTTTGTTATGTCTATTAATTATGGCTCTTCTTAGCCATTTGTTTTTTTAATATCATTGGGAAGAAAATTTTTGTGCAAAATATATTTTGGTGATTGATTATATGTTGCAAAGTGCATTAAAACAGTTTTACCTTTACTAAATTTATATAGCTAGAATTTAATATATACATATATACCATTTGTGAATAATAATGAGAAATACACATTTTGTAAATTGTGTATTTTTTGAATGTTTGAAAACACTTTGGTTTTTATATTACTTTTTCACTGTTTTTATATAGTTTTTATATGGTTTTGATTTTTATACTACCAATTAAAAGGTAAAGCTCTGTCATTATGAATGCCTGAATCTGTTCTTAGGTGCAATGGCATCTTCACTACCCTCAGCTCTCTGCACCTATCCCTGAATTATACAATATTTGGCATGTTATACATCTGATATGATGTACAAGAGAGCTTTGTATTATGATACTTTTCATCTCTTTGAAATGGAGACTTAAGATAAAATTGAGAATTTTTTTTCCTCAAGAAATATTGCTAAAATGGTCTATCTATATATATATATATATATAAAAACCCAGCTACCAAACAGTGGAATGACCAGAATAATCGGGCAACCAGTCTCTATGATGCGCACTGATCACCTGGGGGGCAGATACTCAATACAGGGGTCTGACCAGGATGAGTGCGCTTCTACAGCGGGCCAGTCTCCACAGCCCATGCCCCCCACCAGTGCACGAATCCATGCACCAAGCCTCTAATAATTATATATTCAAAAGTTTGCAGAGAATACATTTAAAGAAGAGGTTTATGAAGAAATGTGTACTTATGTTCCTATTTGTGAGTGAATACATACATACAGGCAACAGCCTATTAAACATTGGAAAGCCACTAGAAGAGCACATTGAGAATGCTCAGTTTGCTTTTGAGAGGCAAGATCCATGCCCCTTAGAGATAGTCAATGGGAGCTCTTATGAAACCCTTGAAGATAAACAAATTACAAATTGAGTCTTGAATACAAATCATCTTGAATAGCTTTGAAACATCTAAGAGTAGCCATGATCATGTCTGCTAAGATTTGGAATGCTGAAGTATTGTGTGTGGACCCTGGGCCTGAGTTGTCACCTGGTAGTGTGAAGGGGCTTTTTAATGGGGAATTTAATGAGGAGGCTTAACTTTACCAATTTTTATCCTTTTACTCCCCAGCCTCACCCAAGGAGATTGTAGGCTAGCCCACTTTTCCGCTTTATGATTTTATAAAAGGGGGTGCTAAAACCAGATATGATAGGAAAAAATAATACATTTTTTCATATACCTAACCATACCTGTTTACTTTTCACACTATCATAATATATAGAACCAATTTAGGGAATAGGAAATACACACTGTGGTTTCCTGACACCCAATGAAAGAATTGAAATAATCAGAAAATGCAAAACAAAAACCTTATCCTTTTCACCAAATACTTACTTTTAAAATACACATAAATATAAATACATATTAGTATGTGTGTGTTTTGGTTGGTTAGTTCCAGAGAGGCAAGAAGAGGGAGAGAGAGAAACATCAATGATGAGAGGGAATCATCTATTGGCTGCCTCCTTCATGCCCCCTACTGCTCTAACCAGGAATGGAACTGTGACCTCCTGGTTCAGGGGTCAATGCTCCACCACTGAGCCATGCTGATCGGGCCCAAACACTTACTTTCAAAGTAAAATTAACACATTTGTGAATTTCAATGGGGGCATTCAGAATTAACATGAAAAGTTTTGTCTTCTGTCATAATACAAAAATCCTATGTTCGGCTGTAGATGTTAGCTATTGAACCTTTGAGAGATTATATATTCCAGTGTTTTAGAATGGACCAGAAGCAACTCTTCAGAAAATGAGTTAAGACAGATTGAAAGTACTAGTTTTAAAATTACGTATGTGGCAATTATTATAAATGAAAGTAACTCCATGGTTCAAAGAATTAAACGTTTGAAAGGCGAATATAGGTCTTTGTGGGCTGTGCAATTTAATTTGGAAAATCTGAAAATGGGGAGAGCGTATAAATTTGATGATAGTGGAGCAAATGGGTTTCAAATTATTTGTATTTGTTTTGTTTGTTTTTCATCTTTATTTAGAAGGATGTGAAGTTGGTCATTGGAGTGAATGGGGAACTTGCAGCAGAAATAATCGCACATGTGGATTTAAATGGGGTCTGGAAACCAGAACACGGCAAATTGTTAAAAAGCCAGCAAAGGATACAATACCATGTCCAACCATCGCCGAATCCAGGAGATGTAAGATGGCCATGAGGCACTGTCCCGGAGGTGAGTGTGGGTAGTCACCACCATGGGTGGTGTGCTTCCTGAATTTGCCTCTTTCCTACCCTCACCCCCAATAATGAATATTTCTCCATGGAAGAAACCTGATAACAATGTTGGTCAGAGGGTCAAATCCCACATTATTCTTATTTAAAGATGAATGCTTACACTGTGAAGTGTAGGGAGGGAATATTTCATTTACTTTCACGATACCTTGGTAATAATTTAGAAGAGTGCATTACAAATGGGCTTTCCAAATTGAGATTTCTAAGAGCGTGTGTGTGTGTGTGTGTGTGTGTGTGTGTGTGTGTGTCTGTGTGTCTTTTTTTGGCTAATGTACCATTCAAGTGGGTCTTATGAAATCAGGCTTTTGCAGATGTTACTCCGAGGGAAGCAGCCAACTTTCAGCTGAGAAGAGTTTAGATTAGAAAGGTTTATGGCATCTGTAAAATCATCGGCATCATTACTAGTTGAAGATGACAACTTCAAATAAACTTGCCCAAACACTGGGAGGAATAAACGTTGTCTTAATGTTACCACAATTAGCTGGTCCTCTTTGTTTTGATAATGATTTGTAGAAAACAGCTACTGGTATGTGTGTGTTTATTCATGTCTTTGTAGTAATTGTGCTGATTTGCAGTAATTATTCTGTAATGACAGGATTAGGCCCATTTACAAATTAGGAGACGCATACATAGCTCAGGTGCCTGCTGGAGCCTAGTCAGTCTGTTGGAGATGGAGGTTTCAGCGCCCCTGCTGTGTAATCGCTTGGTACCGTTTATCACTAGTGGATGCTATGTTGTCGGGGGTGAAGCTGGGTTTTTTCTAGTCGACAGCACAGAAAAGCAAAGAGGTTGTGTTTGGAAAACTGCCCTGTGAAATGATAATTTTTGTTTGTCTTCATTTTATTTTATTTTTTTCTGTTGGGGCACAGATTTTCAGTTTTGTGGTTGCAGCCAGAGAGAGAAATACCTCTCAGCTTAAAATGGATTTACATCCGTATTATGCTGCCCCACAGAGAATGTCTGTGATCCGTGGAGGAAGACAAACCTTTAAGACTGGAAGACTCCAGCCGGCCTTTGAGAAGTATTAGATCCAGATTCAGAAGCTACTATTAGGAAGGCAGCTTTTCCTCTTGAATTAGTCTTGCTTTGCTTTGCTGGGTCTTTAAAACAAAGTTTTTTTGGGGGGGTTTGCTTTTCACCAACAAGGATGGTTTTGTTCGCTTTAAACTGAGTATTTTTCAGTCAAAATATAAGAAAATATTTTCTTACAAAACTAATAAGCTACTTCTTGGATAGCTGAGAGCATTTAACCTGCAACCTCATGCCCGAAAACAAACCTGATGTATTCAGGTATTGGAAAGAAAGGCTTCCTTTGTTGTACATTGTTTATATAACTGCCCTCCCCCCATTTCTCTCCCAGCGATGTGGTCCCCCAATTGTGGTTTACGTTAATAGCAAAAATTAACCTGAAAATGCTCCTCTAACAAACATGCTTATGTGTAACAAGAGCCAGGATATTCCCGTCCCACTATTTTGACCTGGCTCCAGTCTTGCTTGAGAATTAGTAGATAACAGCTAGATTGTTAACTTGTAATGTTTATGGCACTCATAATTTTTGTGCTACCAACAGTCTTACAGAGTACAGCCCGACACTGTCAGCAATGTAAATTATGCTGAAACAAATGTGTAAATATCATCTGCTAATATTCTCTTTTTGATAACCAGCAATGAACTCTGATTTAATTCATATTTAGGTTTTATCAAGTATTATTTATTAGGAGACACTGGCCATTGTTTTAATTCCCAAACCTACATTTTTTCAGTTGAACAAATTCAATTTTACATTGGTAGGTCTAAAAAGTTATGTGGAAACTTGTTTTATAAAAAGGTACCTACCATAGAATTGTTGATAGAAATGGAAAGTTACTCCCACAATAAAGTAACTTCTATTTTAAAATGTAAGAAATTACAACTAGAAAATTAATTTTGGAACCTGAGCACCAACTTATAAAAACAGGCATAACTTCCAGTGTCGTATCCCACCTCGCCTCAGGTGAGAGAGCAAAAAGTTCCTTTCTTCAGTAGGTCACGGCGATTAATGGAAGAATGGAGACGAAAACCGCTTCGGCCCATTTTACATCTTGATTTGATTTTAGTGATCTGCTTTGACAAACCATGCAAAAATGTAAGTTGTAATCAGGTTGGGAATACAGGCATTTTTCAGATCTTTTCAACATATGTATGGATTTTTTCTCCTGTTGGAGCCAATCTTAACCTGATTGCACACAAACACAGCCTTCACCTCCTTCACACTAACGCACCAGCACATTAAAATCAGCTGCTTTCGATTACTGGAAGGCAGAAGTTAAAGGTCAATGCAATGGAATAGTCACTAAGTATATAAGATATTTCATTTCAAAACTACTAAAAATAAGAAAATAATGGATGTAAGATTTTTTTAAAAAATGGTGTAGTGCTTCAATGTATCTTCTCCTTCATGGTCAGATGCATATTGGCTTTTAAAAGAAGATTCTTTGAAAACATCCTAAGTCATGGGTTGATTTACACTTCAAGTGACTCGGTGTCCCTTCCCAAACTTCTCTTTTTAATCAGTTACCTTTTCTTCCATTTCTGGTGACAATAGCCTGTGGAGTTTCCTGGGCTTTGCTGACACTCTTTTTCAGGATTCTGTTCTGGGGATCAGGAGATCTGGGTCTCTGGACCCTGTCAAGCCATTAATTCTGTGACCCTCGGCAAGACACTTAACCTCTTTTGGCCTCTATTTCCTCATTTGTTAATTGGAGAGTATAAGGGTAGGCGACCTGTAAGATCCAGCCCAGTTCTAAAACCCAGTGATTCTAAGATTCATTGTTAAAAGGTCTGGGCAAGTTCTGTGGCCGAGATGTGCAGGGCAAGGAAGAGACTGGAAGCCCAGGATCGCTGTTTTACAAAAAAAAAAAAAAAAAAAAAAAAAAAAGAATTGAACACTTCTTCAGTAGCTGCACTGGGCTTGATCCGAGACTGTCACATCGGGCAGCTTTCAACCTCTTTCTCTTTCTTTCTCACAGGTAGTCAACCCTCAAAGACTATGCAATACTTTAAATCCACCTATGACCTGTTTATCTACCAAGTTGCAGGAGGGTAAAGAAGAGAAGAGCTTAAAAAAAAAAAAACATGGTGAAAGGAGAAAGGTAGATAATGAGTGAGAGGAAAAATATATGGAAAAAATGAATCTAGGAAACAAGGGAGGAGAGTAATGGACTCCTTAAAAACAAAGCTCGTACTCACTGCAAATATAACTGCCTTCCCTCTCTCCCACCCTGAGCTCACTACTGAATATAATTCACCCTGTTGCTACGCAATTATTCTCTTAACATATAACTTGAATCTTTATTTTTTCATGTTTTTTTCTTCTTTTTTATTTGAGAGAGGGAGAGAGAGAAACCTCAATGTTGAGAATCATTGATTGACCGCCTCCTGCACACCTGACCCTGGGGATTGAGCCCCCAACCCAGGCAAATGCCCTGACTGGGAATCAAACTCTAACTTCCTGGTTCATAGGTCGATGCTCAACCACTGAGCAATGCTGGCTGGGCTATAATTTGAATCTTTAAATGAAAGGAATTTTGAGTTTGAACCATGCTGTATTTTAGGCAGTACATTAATAGGAAAATATAAGCATGCTACCATTCTATATTTAAATAACGAATAGAAAAACTAAATCATGGTTGTGCAGGGACAGAGTTGGCAGATGCTCATGGACAGGGGGAGATGCTGACCCTGGGAGGTGGCTGTACTCCTTCCACTCCTTCACAGGGCCGACCAACATAACCTCAGCCTGAGATGTTCTGTCCTGTCTGTCTGGGACTCGCTGTTCTGTAAGGTCTCATGATGACTAATTTTCATGCATTCATTCGATATTTATTGAGCATGGCTCTATCAATCATTGGGCATAATGAGTCCTTACAGAGCTTTTCTAATGGGAATCATGGCGATAAAAAAGTGGATGAGTGCATAATTTTCTGCAGAGATAGAGGCTGTGAAGAAAAATAAAGCAGGATAAGGAGCCAGTGAAAGAGTTGGTTAGGAATGCCTTTTTTTTTTTTTTTTTTTTTTTTTTTTGTAGGATATTCAGAGGAATTGAGGGAGTACCATTTGGTTATAGATCTGAATAAAGGAGAGCTTTGGATAGTCCTAGGGACAGTTGTTTAGCTATGGACTCCATGGCTATACTATGTGACCCTCTTGATTCTCCCACTTGCATAGGGTAGAGGAGGGAACTGAGTTTTAGGGAGACTATGCCTGGACCAAGGCGATGTACAGCAACCTTCTAGTGGGAGAGCCAAGAGGAGGACCAATATTTTGCTGCCCAGGAAACCCAAGTTTCCCCCCGCCTTTTCCTTGTTCCTTATAATAAAAATCAAGGGCAGAGCCATGGTTGTCCACCATTGAAGTAGCCAACTTTAAACTATTTCTCCCTCCGACAGACACATCATTTACTTTTGTTCTAAAATACTTTTTAAAAAAAATATATATTTTATTGATTTTTTACAGAGAGGAAGGAAGAGGGATAGAAAGTTAGGAACATCGATGAAAGAGAATCATCGATCAGCTGCCTCTTGCATACCCCCTACTGGGGATGTGCCCGCAACCAAGGTACATGCCCTTGACCGGAATCGAAACCGGGACCTTTCAGTCCACAGGCCGACGCTCTATCCACTGAGCCATACCGGTTTCGGCTGTTCTAAAATACTTAAAAACAAACAAACAAACAAACAAACAAAAACAACAAAAAACCCAAAACACACTCCAACTTAAAAAAAAAAAAAAAAAAAAAAAAAAAAAACAAAAAAAAAACCCAAAACACACTCCAGGGCATTCTGCCATCACCACCCCCTCCCGATATCTTCCAATTTGAAACAGCCAGTGGGACATACCCCAAAGGTCACTTAGTAGATGCCGACTACTCACTGGCTTTGTTTTGGTTCAGCCTCCCCCCTA